CTGAAACATCTGTGCGGGATATTTTTTCATAGATATTCCTTCAGCCCAACCCCATGTAGGACATTACAGGAGTAAGGAATCCTTTTTGTAAACCCTCCACGACATGATTTTTTTTGCACGACCGCCTCAAACGGAATTCTTTGGCAAGGCCGCTCCCGCAGAAGACGAGACGGACGAGAAGGAGGAGGCACAGAAAAAGAACGAGGGGACGGACGAGGAGGGGAGAATGGAGCATGCAGGAGGAGGATCATGAGAGCAAAGAGCGCACGTGGAGACGACGAATGAACGTTTCGTTGGTTTTCGTGGTGTGGTGGGGTGCTGGGATGGGGGGATTATATACACATCTATACATCTACACATGGAAGCACGCATAAGCGAGTAAGGGGGAGAGAGAGAGAGAGAGAGAGAGAGGGAGAGAAAGAGAGGGAGAGAGAGAAAGCGAGATAGAGAGAGAGAGAGAGAACGAGAGAGTGATAAAGAGAGAGAGAGAGAGAGAGAAAGCAATAGCAAGAGCAAGAGCGAGATCGAGAGCGAGAAAAGGGGCGAGAGAGAGAGAGAGAGTGAGACAGAGCGAGAGAGCAAGAGAGCGAGGGAGCGAGAATTGAGCACGCGGCGCGCGCAGGCCGCCATCAGGGCCCTCAGCGGCGCGGGCGAGGGCAAGGAGGGCTTCCTGCAGACCATCGAGCAGGCCGGCCCCCGGCTCCTTGGCAGGGTCGGGGCCCTCCTGGCCGGGTGTTGCCAGAAGCACCCCTGGCCCAAAAGGTACCCCCCAGGATTCTAGGGGTGGCCCAGACGGCCTCCAGGGCACCCCTCACGAGGCCCAGATGGCCCCAGGGGCTCCAAAGTGGAGCGGGAAGCTGGGGGTACCTTGGGCCAGGGGCACTTCTAGCAACACCCGACTTGGGATGGGGAGGGGGACGGGGGACGGGGGAAGGGGGAGGAGGTCGCAGGCCTGGAGGTTGACACCAGCACCAATATCGGCGTTGTGCCTCCACCGAGGGAAGAATGTCCCGATCTCGGTGATGGTGGTGATATTCTGGCTTCAAAGAGGATTTGGAGTTCCACAGGGCGAGGAGGAGGAGGCGGAGGAGTTGGGAGATCAGAAGGGTTCAGGAGGATCCGAATGATGATGACGATGATGATGATGATGATGACGATGATGCTGATGAGGATGATGATGATGATGCTGATGATGATGATGATGATGATGATGATGATGATGATGTTATTGTTGGTGATGATGTTGATAACGATGGCGAGGATTATGCCATTGATAATGCGGATGGCGATGATGGTGATGACGATGATGATGACGATGATGATGATGATGATGATGATGATGATGATGATGATGATGACGATGATGATGATGATGATGATGATGACATTGCTGATGATGATGGTGATGCTGCTGCTGCTGATGCTGATATCGGTTGTGATGATGATGGTATTGGGGATGACGAGGAAGGATAACGAGAACGACAACGATGACGATTATTTTGTTGGTTGTGGTAATGATGATGACGATGATGATGATGATGATGATTCTGTTGAATGTGATGATGTTGGAATGATTCGGGTGATGATGATGCTAATGCAGATGATGGTAATGCTGAATATGATAGTCATGATGGTGATGGTAGTGATGGTGATGATGATGATGATGATGCTGATGCTGATGCGGGCACTGATAACGATGATGATGATTATGCTGATGATGCTGCTGTTGACGATGATGCGCATGGTGATGCTGATGCTGATGCTGATGCTGATGCTGATGCTGATGATCACGATGACGATTCTCATTTCGATAATGGTGAGAATGCTGATGATGACAGTGATGATGATGCTGCTGATGATGATGATCCTGATGATGCTGATGATGCTGATGATGATGCTGATGAGGGTGTTGGTGATTCTGATGATGGTAGTGAGGATGATGATGATGATGATGAGGATGAGGACAATCATGATGCTGATAATGATGATGATGATGCTGATGTTGATTGTGATAATGATGACGCTGCTGCTGATGATGATGCTGATGATGATGATGGTGGTGGTGGTGGGGATGATTGCTAATGGTGCAGATGATGGCGATGATGAGGAGGAGGAAGGTGACGATGATGCTGCTGTTGCTGCTGCTGATGATGATGCTGATGAGGTCGATGCTGATGACGATGATGCTGCTGATGATGATGCTGACGATGGTGAGGGTCCTGATAATGCTGATGATGCTGATGATGATGAGGGTGTTCGTGATTCTGTTGGTGGTAATGATTATGATGCCGATGCTGATTATGACGATGATGCCGATGCTAATAATAATAGTAACGATGATGATGCTGATGATGATGATGATGCGGTGATGCTGATGATCACGATGACGATTCTCATTTTGATAATGGTGATAATGCTGATGATGACAGTGATGACGCTGATGATGAGGATCCTGACGATGCTGATGATGCCGATGATGATTATGAGGGTGTTCGTGAAT